GTTGCTGACCCCGTGAACTATCCTACTGTACAAAAGTAAATTTTGCAATCATTGCTTTATAACCCACGATTGCCCCTGGCATGTGGCGGCTTGTGCAGAAGGGAAAGGCACCCCTCAGGCTCAAAGGGGGTTCCCCAGCCCTGGTTCACAAAAATGGAATGAGGAGAGGGCATACTTATGCATTTACAGCATATCTCGCCTCATCCACACTGCATTATGGGAACTGTGGCTTACCCCAGGAGAGCTACAGTTCCCAGTCACCCTTAAGGCCAAACTAGCAGCTACTGGGATTCTCTGGAGGAGGCGGTGTACACTAAACGCATGGTACCCACTGCCAGGCTTTGCAATCTCCCCTAAAAGCTTCCTCCTCCTGCAGTTCCAACATGTCGGTTTGGAGGTGCAGGCTGCCCTCTGCTGCTCACTTCGGGGAAAGAAGATAAGATTCTTGCAGTGGCAAAAGTGCACCAGTCTCAAAAACGGCCTCTTTTTTCACTTGCTCCTTCAGTTTTTTCAGACAAACCATAGGATGTTTATACTGATCGGATTACATGGCCCATTACATATGAAATCCGCCTTTCTACTAGCTGGCACAGTGAAGGTTTCACACCACCAATTAGAATAGGTGGTGATTTGCTTGGCCATATGGCTTTTGGGTTATCCATTTCCCCCCCTGTCCCTTAACTGCACTTCTGTGCTGTTTCCTATGCCCCTTCCAGCTAATCTCTGCCCTGCTATTCTTTTCTGCCTCGTTTCTTTTATGTTGCTGCCGCCAATCATTTCTGGGTGCAACTTTCCTATCTGAGGGCAATTTACTGGAAGAAAGTATTTTTTGCACTTCGTGGGGTATGCTTCTGTGTTGGAGTGCCTGAGACTAAGGAACACAGGCTGGAATATCCTTTATTATTCACTTGTAGGATCGGTGATCGTCGAAGCACATTGTTAGCTGCATTCAGAGGTGAAGTTTAGCTGGAGTGCAGTAGCAATCTAACGATGCCCTGAAACCACAGGCATTTCCCTTATTTTCAACAAGAAACAATGATAGAAGGAAGCGGCAGCAGATTTTATGCAATGCTTAAACATTGAGCATGGGCTTTTTAAAAAAATGAGCAACATGACTCTAGATCTGAAAAACTAATAGGCAGAATTTTTGGCCCTGGTCTAATGATAGGTGAGAACAGTGAACAGACCCTCCATAGTTCTACGCTTCAGGGTTTCAGCAGGCAAAACAGATTTCGAAAATGTGTATTTTCACCTGTGGTGCAGGTGTGCCTAAATTGATTGTGGGCATTTCCTCCCACTTCTGGTGAGCCAGGGCGGCTCAGCAACGCAACTGCTTGTCTCCAGTGGAGGCAAGCTCCTCTCTCACAGAGAGCCATTCCTCCAGACGATGAGAGTAAGTCCAACCCTGGCAGGCATGTCCAAAGCCCCTGTGGCAGTTCTTTGGGGTAAAATCTACCACAGCACTGACTGCGACATGGTCACTCCCTGGTGGTGAGCAAAGAGGACCTGTAGCCAATCTAAGGTTCTGCACTTGGGCAGAAAGAACCAGCTGCACCAATATAACATGAAGGACACCTGGTTTGCTGGTAGGGAAAAGGATCTAGGGATCTTAGTGGACCACAAGCTAGGGAAAAGGATCTAGGGATCTTAGTGGACCACAAGCTTAACATGAGGCAACCTGAGAGTGTGTAAGAGGCTTGGTAAACAAATCAGCAATATTATCCTGTGATTGACAATACTCCAGTTTGATTACCCCATTCTGTACACAATCTCTAACATTTGCATGACGGATAGCAATATGTTTTGATGCGGATTTCATTATTTCCAAGCCCGCTAACGCAATGCACGATTGGCTATCTTCATACACTTGGATAGGCAAATCTACTTTACAATCTAGATCTTTTAGTATCTGTATAAACCACATGATTTCATTGCATGCTAGTGACAGGCTCCCATATTCTGCCTCACAGGATGAGGTCGCAACAAATCCTTGTTTCTTTGACCTCCATCCAATTATGGAATTGGCAAACATCATAACCATTCCACTTGTAGATTTTCTAGTAGCTACACAGCTTCCCCTGTCCGCATCAACAAATACTTCTAGTTTTTCGTCTTATGTACTAGATATCTTCAAACATACATTTAATGTCCCCTTTAGATATCCGATAAGCCTTTTCAAAGCACACCAATCGGCAGTACTGGGTTTAGATACATGTTGGCTCAGAACATTTGTAGCACATGCAACGTCTGGCCTTGACCACTGGCTTAAATACAGCAGTGATCCTATTTTTGAGTGATACAACTCAGGCTGATCAAATTCATCGTCACACACTGTCTTTGGGAAATCTGGTGTCATGGGAGTCTGAACTGGCTTGTAGTTTTCCATGCCAAACTGCTCTATCAAACGAAGAATTTTCTCTTTCTGGCTCAATAGGAAGCTTCCTACCTTACTTCTACTCCCAAGTAATTGCTTACAGGCCCTAAGGCTTTAAGCTTAAACTTCTTTTCCAGTTGACTTGTGAGCTTCTGGATCTCATCTGTGGAACTCCCTGCTACAAAGACTAAGAGCATTAGATATTTGTTGCCTGCCCCCTTGGTGTACAGGCATGGATCAGCCACACTCCTTTTAAAACCAAGTTTTACAAGGGCTTCATTTAAACACTGGTTCCAACACCTTCCACTTTGTTTGAGACCGTAAACAGCCTTTTTTAAAGGCCAGACTGCACCATTCCCTCTTCAAACCCAGGGGTTTTCTCATTAACACTTCATGGTCTAAATTTGCATGCAGATATGCAGCATCAACATCAAAATGGTGCACTGCTAATTGTCTTGCAGCAGCAATAGAGAGCATTAAACGAAAAGTTTCACTCTTTACAGTTGGAGAAAACACTTCATCATAACTCTCCCCTTTAATCTGAGTGAACCCTCTGGCTACTAATCTGGCTCAAAAACGTGGTTCCCCAGATGCAAGGGTTTTCCTTTTATAAACCCACTTGCATGACACCACTCTGCCACTAGGTGGCGGCATTATGACCTCAAACACTTTGTTACGTTTAAAAGAGTCCATTTCTTCTTTCATAGCTTGTTCCCACAAAGCACGTTCCCCAGGGGGCAAGTCTAAGACTTCATTATAACTTTGTGGTTCCACACAGCTCACATTGCATACTCTCACTCCTCCTAGGGTCAAACACTGAGGAGGTACACCCTTGTTTGAACGCTGGGAGTGCCTAGGCACAACTACTTCTTCTTCCCCGCTTATCTCTGGCTCTTCTTCCTCTTCCTCTAGAGAAGTATTATCTATTGCCACATCTTTTGGAGAAATCTGTGCCTCCTCCTCATCCTGCTCCTGTGTTGCCAATGGCTGAGAAGAAGCCTCTTCTCTTACTTGCAGAAGCAGTAGGCAATCTGGGTTGGCATGGATCGCAGTCCATCTGTCCTAGTCAGCAAAGTCTGCGCTTCGTGACAGAACCATGCGTTCTGGGTGTAAATTGAAACGCCACCCTTTGCCATAGGGCTGATATCCCACAAACCACAGTCTCTGCGCTCTAGCCCCCCCCCCTTTCTGGCGCTGAGCTTTGGGGATATTTACATGAGTCCAAGAACCCAGTTATGAAGCATTGTCCACTCTGGTTCTTTCCCAAACAACACACGATAAGGAATATCTTTTATAGAGCTAGACCAGCTTCTATTAATCTAAAAGCTTGCTGTAAGGAAAGCCTCACCCCACAGCCTATGGTTGTTACCCAATTCTGCACCCACTAGCAGGCAATCCTTTACTGACTGTATTACAGCCGCACGTCTATCACACAGACCATTTTCAGCAGGGCTATAAGGGTTAGTCAAACGGTGAGTGATCCCCTTACATCGCAACCATGCTCCAAATGTTTGTTCAGAAAATCTGCACCCCTATCTGTTTGCAACTGCACAACAGGGCGAGCGAAGAGCTTTTCAGCTTGGGCAACCCATTCTCTGAATGTGGGGAAACACTCCGATTTCTGCTTTAACAAAAACAACCAACTAAAACGTGATATATCTTCTGTTACCAGAAAAGCATATCTGGTGCCCCCTTCAGTCTTCTGTGGGAAAGGGCCTATCACGTCACAATGGACAAGTTCTAAAACCTCTTTAGATACTCTGTCACTTTTAGAAGCCATAGGCTTCCTCTTAGATTTGGCCATTTTACATACATTGCAATCTAGGAAACAGTTACAGCTATTTACTTTTAGGTTCTTGCACACCTTTTGCATCTCTGAAAGCACACGGAAATCGGCGTGACCCAGTTTTCTGTGCAGTTCATGTACACCCCTTATGAACTGGCAAATTATCCTGAACCACCTGGGCTGCTTTAACAGGCTTGTCCTGCATTACATATAACCCATTTTCCAACTTTGCATGGCCACATACCTGAGTTCCATTCTTTATCAGACAACCATCCTGCGTGAACTTAACACTATACCCTGCATTAATCAAACAGCTTACAGACAGTCACGAGTCTGGAAACAGTTCACAAAGAGCGAGGCGGGGTCCGAAGCAGGAAGCCGGGCGGGGACGGGAACTCTGGAAGGACAGGTCTGAGTCTGGGCAGAAGCAGGTATTCAACGACGTGGCTTGCCCCGCAACCCTGGGACCGGGCTGACTGGCCTTTAATTTCTCTGAGGCGGGGCGGTCCCGGCCCCCAGGAAGACCGCCTCTCCGCCTTGAAGGCGACACTCTTCCTGGGAAAACCAGTTCCCTCGCCTCTCTGCCCTGAGCCTCTGCAGCTCAGGAGAGGCTGAGGGTTACTGGACCCAGGGGAGACGTCACCTTCCCCTGAAGGGCTGGGAGAGGCGTACCTGTAGGCACTGTGTCCTCAATCACCTCCGGAGCCAGAAGTGGAATAACCTGGTGCCTGCTCCTGAGGATCCGGCACAGGTGCAGGCACTTCAGATCCAAGGCCCTGCCCAGTTCAGCCGGCCTGGAGCGGACTCTGTGCAGGCTGGGGTCCGCTGACAACTGCTGACAGAGTCTCTGGTAGAGTAGTGTTCAAGCACTGCAGGAAACATGTTCCCTGGCCATCAATCTTGCTTCACGACCATCAGCAAGATAGATTGAGTCTTTTCCATCAGCTGGCTTCCCCAGGGTCTTAAAGTCCTCCTGACTGTTGCAGACAATCCTGCTGCTACCAGAGTCCAGCAACCATGTTCCTCGAGGTATCTTCCTCTCCTCTCGAGAAAATGCAGACACAAGATGAGCAGAACGCGTGTTCTTCTTCCCTGAGGAGAACCCCTTCTGCTTACATTTCTGCATCGATTGCTGTCTCTGCTCCATGTCGTCTCCTGGAGGTCTTGCCCTGCATTGATGTTGGAGATGCCTTGCTTGGCTGCATCTATAGCATCTCCTCACCGCCATGCCCAAGTCCCAAACTTGGCGTTGTCCCATTGGCAGATTCTGCTGCTGGCCCCCTCAGCTGTAACTCCTCCGCTCTTGGAGTTCAGCCTGCCTGTCTGACCTTCTTTCTGCTTCTTTGGTCAATCTTCCAACCACATACTCAAGGGTCAGATCTCGGGGACGCATACTCTCCATGCTGTTAATCACAGGCAACCAGCTTTCAGGCAAACTTGAAAGGATAATGTTGGTTTGGTCAGTTTCATCCTAACGCTTACCTCTCTGTTGTAGTTGAAGAAACAGAGATTTCAGCATTTGAAGATGAGTTGCCAAACTCTCACCTTCTTTGATAACAGTCCTGAACAGCCTTCTGGTCAGAGAAATTATAGTTCCAGCAGTTTCTCTGACATGCATTGCCCTTAATAAATTCCAGCACTCAAACGTTGTGCTGGCATTTGCTACATGCAATAACTGAGAGTTGCTCAAACACAGCATAATTTGGGCACGAGCCCTTTCATCCAGCCGTTTTTTCTCAGTAGAGTCCCGTCTCAAAACCTCAGTTTCAACGCAGTCCCATAGTCCATCTCTCCTTAACAACTGCTGCATTTTTATTGACCAACTCAGCCAGTTGCTTTCTGAGAGAAGTTCAAAAGGGATGCCTCTCCCAATATTTACAACTTGGGAAGACTGGAAATCTGCCATCTCTGCTGGTGCTTGCTGAGCCCCTTCTGTGGGGTCTCCAGAAATCTCTCCTGACTCTCTCTTTAGAGTCCGACTGGACACTCCTGGCTGGCACTCACCGGCTTCTAGCTGCTGCCTCTGTTGACCCTCAGGTCCCGCCTGGCTCTGCAACTGGTGTAGCCGCTCTGTGAATCGCCTACTGTGGTCCTCTAGCAGTTCAAACTGTTCCAGTAGCCGACGCTGAGTGCTTTCCTGATCCTCAGACCCTAGCCGCTCCAACGTCGCTGCAGACAGTTACGGCTATAGATCTTCAATGATGATGTCATCTGGATGGAAGAGAATGAGAAGAGAAGGCAAATGAAAATGACAATGAGATTTCCCCACAGGCCTTTAGTCAAAGGGCGCTGTCTCCAAGGTGTGGGGCTTACCTTCTTTTGGCTTCCGGCGGAAGCAAGCCAGTTCCGGCCGAATGACTGTCATCTGCAGAGGAAAGAAAAATCAGGGTCAGATGGGAGCAAGAGAGCACAGAAGCAGCGCCAAGTCAGGAAGGACGGTCTCCCTCTGTCTTGGGCCCAATCCCTTGTTCCAGAGGACCTCCCTGGGCCCTGCAGCCTCCTGGGCAGAGGTGGAAGGGCAGCAGCAGGAAAGGGGGCAGAAAAAGCCTCTGGCCTCATCCTGGCCCCCAGGGACACACCCCGCAAATTCTGCACTAAAGATCACTTGGGGATGTGATCTTGGGGGGGGGGATGGAAGTAACCAAAGAAATGAATAGAAGAAGGCAAGGTACTTACTCTGAGTTTGGGATATTTCCTGGCAATGGCCAGCAGCAAAGAGATGCTGCTGGCCGCAAGTTGTTGTGCCTCCCCACTTTCCCCCAGGGCGTATCCTCTGAGGTCCTGCAGGAGGAAAGAGCATTTCAGAGTCAGGGGCCAATCTGGGCCAAAGTGGCCCCCACTGCCCCCACCACAGAGTCCCTGGCACTTCTGCACCATGAGGGGTTGCCAGCTTTGGTCTTGGACCAAATTGGGGGCCAAACAGGCTCTGAGCCCCAGAAATGGGGCAGTCCATTGGGTAAGGGACGGGGGGGGGGCAACCCTAAAACCACCCCAGATGCCATAGGGACACTTACACTGAGAAGTTGGAGGAGGGTGCCAGGGTTGGGGGCTTCCATAAGGAGACTGCCCAGCAGAAGCCGGTAGTGCCTCTTCAGTTCCTGCGGGAAAAGAGAGAAGAGAGTTTGAATGCTGGGTTGGATTTTGCAAGGGTGTGACGAAGAGGAAGAAAGAGAATGTGAAGGGAAGTCAAAAAAAAGGACATACTTCTCTCTTCTCCTCCTCCTCCTCCTCCTTGGCCCCACACAGCATGGCCTCCAACATCCTGTGCAGGATGGCACTGACCATGTCAGAGGTGAATCTGGGCCTCATCGTGCTGCAGAAATGAAAGGGAGAGGGTTAGAGTCTCCCTTGCCCCCTTCTCCCTCCCGCCTGCTCTTGCCCCCTGGAGTTCTGCCCCCCCCATAACCCCATCCACGCCAAAGACCCCACTCACCTTAGCTGGAGGAGGGCCTCCAAGGCAAGGGCCAGAGTCAGGGGGCAATCTCTGAAGTGCTCCAAGGGCCCCAAGATGTCCTGGAAGAGAACAGAGGAGGAAAATCAGCTCTGACCCCAAACACCAGGCTTGGCTTTGCAGGGGAATGGCAACCCCATGGCCTAAGCCGGCAGGGTCCTCCTCCCCACAGATGCACAACCCCTTCCCCCCACCTCCCCGTGGGGGTCCCTCACCCCCCCATCACTCACCAGAATTTTTTGGGCTGTCTTCTCCTTGGAGCACATCAGGGATCGCAGCCCCCTGAGCTCAGCTGCCTGGCAGCTGTTGATGACCCCCAAGATGTACAGCTGTTCATCCTCTAGCAGCTGAAATGCAAAAGTCAGGCTGTCAGTTCCTCGTGAGGGGAGGACTTCTCCGCATCTGAGAGTGCAGAGTGTGGGGCAAAGAGCCCGGGGGCAGTGGGGGGCAGGTCTGAGGGATCCAGTCCCTGCTCTTGTTTTCTCCAATACTCACCTCTGGGCCTGGGATGCTGAACCGCAGCAGCACTGCAAACAGAAGGACAGGGGAAGAGGTGAGTCCTCTTTTGCATCCTTGGACCAGTCGCTCCCCATGCCCATCCCTGCCCTCCTCTGTCCAAAAAAGGAGGGCCACTGGCTTACCTGGCGCCACGGGCTGCTCTGTGTCTGGCTGGGGGGCCACCCTGTGGCAGTGCCTGAACAGGCGTCTTAAGCACCTGATCCTAGAAGAGATGAGCAGAAAGAGCGACTCAGATGCCAGCAGCCCCAATTCTTGGGTGTGAGGAGGGGCGTCTGGAGAAAACAGTGAACCACTGCAGAATTGGCAGAACAGAAATGCGTATGTGGAGCCTAATTGATCCTTGCCGGCCCACTCTGACCAATTCCTTCCATCTCTCTGCAGTTCAGTGACCTGAAGGGGCATCATCAGAGCCTGAAAGAGGCAGCCCAAAGCATGAAGGGCTGGCAGAGAGAGAAAGTAGGTCCCAAGTGCTCTGGGTTCAAGAGCTACCACCATGTCAGGGTCCAGAGAGCCTGGCCCCCTCATTCATGCAGTCAAGCAGTGTATAAATTTCATGAAGCATTGTAACCAGAATTCTTGGAAAGGGTGGCGGGGGGTTTCGCCCTCCAGCAGGCACCATACCCCCCTCCGACTGTACCCCAGATCGACACCTTCACGTCTGCAAATGTCCCCACAGAAGACATCCTGACACAGTCCTTTCCTTTTTCTATTCCAAAAGCTGCCATAAATAAGGGTAGAACATTTGCCCTAATGAAGGCCGAGCCTTTCGCTCGCAAGGCGCTAAACCAATCCGCTCAGACTATCCAAATATCCAATAGCAACCAATGAGCGCCACAAAACAGTGCCCTCCAGCACAAAGCACTGACAACAACAACTGAACAAAGCACACAGGCACTGCAGCTGCCAACCAGCCACGGCCTCTGCTGTACAAGTAGGAATTCCCACTGGGAAAAGGGGAAAGTCAGAACCAGCCATGAAAAGCATTCTTGGTCCATTGAAACTAGTCCTTCAAGTTTCAGTCTAGGCTCTTGAACTACCAAGCCAGCTGTACGCTTGTGAAACATGGACCACTTATAAACGCCATCTCCAACTCCTTGAAAGATTCCATCAATGGTGTCTCCGAAAAATGTGACACACCACTTGGGAAGGCAGGCGAACTAACACCAGTGTCCTGGAAGAAGCAAAGATCACCAGTGTTGAAGCAATGATTCTTCAACACCAACTTCGTTGGACTGGTCATGTGGTTCGGATGCCTGATGATTGTCTTCCAAAGCAACGACTCTATTCCAAACTTAAAAATGGAAGGCGTAATGCTGGTGGCCAACAAAAGAGGTTTAAAGACTATCTCAAGGCCAATCTAAAAACATGTTGTATAAACAAAATATAATACAAAAATGAATAAGAGAGGCTAAAATCAAGCATTTACAAGAAGAAATAGGCAAACAAGAAAAATTATTAGCGAAAACACCAAAAAACGAGATCGTAAACCAAACCATTAAAATATTACAAACACAGCTCTCAACGCTCTTAAATGATGAAATAGAAAGAAATATAAAATGGATGAACAAAAATCATTTGAATTTGGAAACAGACCAGGTAAATTACTTGTGTGGCACATAAAGAAAAGACAAAGAGAAAGACAAATAAAGTAGTATATGAAGGAAAAGCAGTGGAGACGGAAGAAGGAATAAATAAATGCTTTGTAAAATACTTCACCAATCTATATAAAAAGGTGCAGAAACTCGACAACAAATTATAAAATATCTTCAAGGAAAACAAATCCCAAAAATAGGTGAAAACAAACGGAAGCAGCTAAACGCACCAGTAACAACAATGGCGATACAACAAGCAATTTCCAATCTTAAACTGGGGAAGGCTCCAGGTGACGATGGACTATCCGCGATACACTACCAAAGGTTAGAAGATGCTATAACCAGCGGCGTAGCGTGGGTTGTCAGCACCCGGGGCAAGGCAAGTAATTTGCGCCCCCTAACCCGTGGATTTGCGCCCCCTAACCTGTGGATTTGCGCCCCCTAACCCGTGGATTTGCCCTAACCCCAGATGTTGCGCCCGGTGCGGCCGGCCCCCCCTGCACCCCCCACGCTACGCCACTGGCTATAACAATGCCTTTTAAAAAATTAATGAACGAGATCATGCAAGAAGGAAAAATACCAAAGTCGTGGCAAGAAACCAATATTGTATGAATTCACAAACAAAGCACAGCTAGAGAATGAGTTAACAATTACAGACCCATATCATTATTAAATAATGATTATAAATTGTTCGCGGGGATATTAGCAAATAGGCTGAAATCGGTCCTAAAGGATGTAATAGACCAAGACCAAGTAGGATTCCTCCCAAATAGGCATGTAAAAGCAAATATGAGAATAGTAATTGATCTAATTGAATATTTGGAAACGAGACCCAACAAAAAAGCGGCGTTTATGCTAACAGATGCCGAGAAGGCTTTCGATAACCTATCAAGATCGTTCCTTCAGGAAGTAGCAGAAGCAGTAGGACTGGGTGAAAACTACTGCAGAGCAATAAGCACAATATATGAAAACCAGCAGGGATGTTTAATAAGAAATGGTGAAAAGATGGATCCTTGAAATCTAGAGAAAGGTACCAGGCAAGGATGCCCGCTTTCACCGTTCCTTTTTATACTAACTTTGGAAATCCTGATTTTAGAAATAAAGAAAGAAAAAGAGATAAAGGGAATTACATGAGGCAAGGATGTTTTCAAAATTAGAGCTTTTGCATACAATATTATATTAGCACCTGAGGAGCCAGGAACCAGTCTAATGAAAGCACTGAGGATAATGAATGAGTTCGGGAAAGTAGCAGGCTTCAAGATAAATATGTCAAAAACAAAACTTATGGTAAAAAACATACAGGAATTAGAAAAGAGCAAACTACAGGAGAAATTGGGTTTGGAAATTGTTACAAAAGCAAAATATTCTGGTATAGAATTGACGATGAAAAATATTAATCTATTTGGAAACAATTATGAAAAAGCCTGGAAGGAAAATAGAAGAGATCTAGAAACCTGGAGTGGATTAAAGCTGACATTAATGGGGAGAATATCTAGAATTAAGATGAATGTTTTACCCAAAAAGATATATTTGTTCCAAACAATACCAATAATAATGAAAGAAAATTGTTTTGATGAGTGGAGAAAAGATCTAACAAAATTCATATGGCAAACCAAAAAAACCACGCATAAGGTATAAACTATTAACAGATAAAAGGGAGAGAGGAGGACTGGCATCACAAAATCTAAAATTATATTATGAAGCAGAATGTCTGGTGTGGCTAAAAGAATGGATTATATTGGAAAGCACTAGTATTTTAAATCTAGAAAGTTTTGACAATAGGTATGGATGCCAGACCTACCTAGCATACGAGAAGGTTAAGGTACATAATGGCTTCAAAAAGCATATACTCAGAAATTCATTGTTTTAAGTTTAGAATAAACTTTAAGTTTAGAATAAACTTTAAAGTTTTAAAGTTTAGGAATAAACAGCTATTAGAGCCACAAATCCCTTTATGGATCTCTCCATTAGAAGCCCATGCAGTTAAAAAACACAATATGAATCCGAACTGGGCAACATATAGACAAATACTGGAAGAAGACCAAGGAAAGTTAAAATTAAAAACATACGAAGAATTAAAACAATATGGGATGGATAATTGGCAATATATACAATTAAAAAGTGTGTTTAAGCCAGATCAAAGGTTTTGCCAAAGAACAATTGCTATTTAGCACCATTATATTTCGAAACAATAGGAAATTATTATCAAAAATTTACACTATTATTGGGCTATGATTTGATGAAGAGGTAAAAGAAACAATGGTCAAATGGGCACAAGATATCGGCCATACTATATATTTACAACAATGGTAGAAACTCTGTCGCGAGGATATTCGCTTTGCCCACCAACCCAAACAGATAAGCTTCGGGATTTTTTATCAAGGGTTTGTTTAGCATTTTCTTAAGTTCCTCATGTATTATTCCCCAAAACTTCTTTATTTCCTTGCAACCCCACCACATATGAATTATCATTCCAGGTTCTTTGTTACATTTCCAACAAAGGTTGGATTTGAATTTATAAATTTTGGCGAGTTTAACTGATGTTAAATACCACCTGTAAAACATTTTAACCAAATTTTCCTTTATCGTATAGCAGGTGGTAAAGCGAATATCCTTGCGACAGAGTTTCTCCCATTGTTCTAAATATATAGTATGGCCGATATCTTGTGCCCATTTGCCCATTGTTTCTTTTACCTCTTCATCCATAGCGATTGTTCTTTGGCAAAACCTTTTCTTTGATCTGCCTTAAAACACTCTTTTCTGCTCAGAAGGAAGATGGCGACCACTTGGGACATGGCTAGGGGCAGCCATCATCCCTGAAGCATGAGACCACGTACACAGCAACCCTTCTGCCGGGGTGATCATCACTGCCCTCCTGGTCTCTGAGTGCCAGACAGGTAGCCATCTCAAGGACCAGAGTGGATCCAACCTACATGGATTGGGGACTTGGCCAGGACAATAGGGGGTACTCAACTTGGCTGGGAAACAGGACCTTGTATACAGTGGTACCTCGCAAGACGAATGCCTCGCAAGACAAAAAACTCGCTAGACGAAAGGTTTTTCCGTTTTCGATTTGCCTCGCAAGACGAATTTCCCTATGGGCTTGCTTCGCAAGACGAAAACGTCTCGCGACTTTGTTTCCTTTGTCTAAAAACCGTTAAAACCAAGGGTGCTTAGCTTGAACAGCTGCAGTTGCGACTTGACTTCGAGGAGCAACTGTTAGCACGTGGTTTGGTAGCCTTTTCTCAGACTTTGCTCACTTTTGAAGCTTTTCCAAAACTTTTCCAGAACTTCTCTTGCATCCATTTGGTAAGTTAAACTTTTAAAACTTTTTTGGGGGGGTTTGGATTTTGGGTTGGGGTGTTTGGGATTCAATGACTTGGTGTTGTGGGGGGGGTTGCGAATAATCTGGGAGCTTGTGGGGCTTTTTGGGAATTTTTATGATTTTCTGAGTGTGGCTGTGGGGACAGTTGGGAGGTTCTGCAGGAATTGGAGCTTGTGGGCTTTTTTGGGAATTTTATATTTTCTGTGACATTGCCAGTTTTTTTTTTGAAATTTTTCTGAGTTGAATTCTGAGTGCGGCTGGCTGGGGAACAGTTGGGAGGTTTCTGCAGGAATCTGGGAGCTTGTGGGGCTTTTTTGGGAATTTTTATGATTTTCTGTGACCATTGGGCAAGGTTGTTTTTTTTTGAAAATTTTTCTGAGTTTGAATTTCTGAGTGCTGGCTGGCTGGGGAACAGTTGGGGAGGTTTCTGCAGGAATCTGGAGCTTGTGGGGCTTTTTTGGGATTTTTATGATTTCTGTGACATTGGGCAGGTTGTTTTTTTTTGAAAATTTTCTGAGTTTGAATTCTATGTGGCTGCTGGGGACAGTGGGAGTTTCTGCAGAATTGGGAGCTTGTGGGCTTTTTGGAATTTTTATGATTTCTGTGACCATTGGCAAGGTTGTTTTTTTTTGAAAATTTTCTGAGTTTGAATTTCTGAGTGCTGGCTGGCTGGGGGAACAGTTGGGGAGGTTTCTGCAGGAATCTGGGAGCTTGTGGGGCTTTTGGAAATTTTATGATTTTCTGTGACCATTGGGCCACGTTGTTTTTTTTTTGAAAATTTTTCTGAGTTTGAATTTCTGAGTGCTGGCTGGCTGGGGGAACAGTTGGGGAGGTTTCTGCAGGAATCTGGGAGCTTGTGGGGCTTTTTTGGGAATTTTTATGATTTTCTGTGACCATTGGGCCAGGTTGGTTTTTTTTGAAAATTTTTCTGAGTTTGAATTTCTGAGTGCTGGCTGGCTGGGGGAACAGTTGGGGAGGTTTCTGCAGGAATCTGGGACCATTGGGCCATGTTGTTATTTTTTGAAAATTTTTTTTGTCTGGGTGGGGGAAC